CTCGACCGATAGCCTCTTCTTTGTCTCGCAACTGCTTCCACTCGAATAATGGTATTGATGATGTTTTAGGATCTGAGGTCATTTCCCCCGTTCCGTGCTTTAGGATTTGGGGTCATTTTCCGCCGTTCCGTGTTTTAGGATTTGGGGTTATTTTCCGCCGTTCTGTGTTTTAGGATTTGGGGTCATTTTCCGCCATTCCGCCACTCCACCATTCCACCGTTCCAGCTTTTAGGGTCGCCCGCTGACCACGCGTATTTCTTTTGTTACTTTCCCATTCATAACTTTTAAGCTTAACAGTTGCTCGTCCACGTTTCTCATCCTTCTTACAGCGTCCTTGTCGACAGCATTTCATATTTAGTCAATGATACCTAGCATACACACTCTGTCGTTTTTCCAGAGATGGAAAATCAAAACGAGGATCAGACGTCTACTTCATCTAATTCGACAAGCTATGCAGTACCAGTTGAGCACATATACTTCGATGGCTCACAGGTAGTAAGAAATCCTGAGAAAACACAACCTTTCAACTTTTTGATTAGTGACTTTTTGTCGTCTCCGCAATAACAAAGTTGAATCACTGTGATCATTAGCCTTCCAAACTCTGCTTTCTTGAACCTACCAGTTTTTGTACTTTCCACATTCGTCATGACTTAACCAATCTACTGTGCTCAAAGAAGGTTCATCCTCAGGTTCGATAGTTCATTGTGCACTTTGCTTTTTTTCAAACAGTAGTCCTCGGGACGTCAGACGTCCCAGGAGGTGTGAGTTGCAAGCCTTGTTAGAATAACGAGAAACAATGTAAAGTGCATTGAAACGTGTCGATATGTACGATACAATACAGTACTATCACCATAAGTCGTAATATTTATTTGTTCTTTGTTTGTTTGTTTGATTCTTGTAAGCTCTCCACTGCCTCAGCTGCAAGTGGGTCGAATGAAAGCGACACAGATCAAGTGTCAAACAGGTAAGTTGCTTGGGAAGAATCATGCGTATCTTTTTTGGTGGATTTCTGCCACATACTCATTTTGTTTCACAACACTTAACCACTTAACCTTTTAACCCCCACAATCTGATTGTAAATTTCCCCCTTTAGCTACTACACGTTTCCTGCGCTTTTAAATAACTTTCAACAATTTAGTGTTGGATGAGCATAAAAATTTGTACCTGATTATAGCAGAGTATTCTCATTACTTTTTGCTGGATAATGTACATGGTACTGTAGAGAGAAGTTGCAGGTTAATCACTTCTGGGAATTGAAGGGTTAAAGGATAAGTTTAAACTAATAATAAATTCAGGTGAACTTAAAATGTGATAAATTTCACAAAATGATATTTTCTGTCATTTATTCAATTATATTGAGCTACTTTAAGGTGAAATGTGGCATAAAATTGGAAAATAGTGGGATTTGGCTCGTGCTGCCAAAGAAAGATTTATATTTCGGCAGCTAAATTTGATAATTTTGCAAACCGAAATTCTATAAGCACAAGATACTATTTTGTGCTGTTTTTAAAGGCTATATGTACATTAATTATTCTGCGGATTTGGATGTTTACCATAATTATGGATCTCTTTGTGACTTTCCAGAACTTGGCTTTTGAAATAAAAACAACCTTGCATTGCTACAAGACAAATAATTACAAGTTGCCAACCGTGTTTCATCTGTATATTAAGTACTTTATGCACAAGTTGGCCATAGGTATTCTTTCATTAAATAAAGGGGATAGTTGAATCGATTTGACATGTTTCTTTTCTTTTTTTGCCTTTTGTGTTTTTTCAAAAGAAGTTTAAGTTTTTGTGTGATTAGCCTTGAAATATGTAACAAAATCTATTGATTAACATGTCACCTTGGGTAAGGTTTATTGTGATACTGACATTTCTCTAATGGTCTCCAAATATCACAAAATTAACTACAAATCACCTGGAAATAACTATGTACAGTCTTTTAGTTGTATTTAAGTGTGTACAGCCTGTTTTACACTTGTTGACGTTTTTGATAAACAAATGACAGTGGCTGGAAATATATGTCCTCAAAGGAGATATGTTGTTGTCAGCAGAGATGGAAATTGTTTTTGCCAAGCTGTTGCTCTTAGGAGGGTTGAAACAGACAATGAGAAACACAAGGATATTTGTCAGTCAAGTTCCTGTTTGTTTCAGAAAAATCCCAAGGTTTTTGAGCTGCCACTCTTTGCTATTTTCAACTACAAATACAGTCACTGTTTCTTCAACACTAAAATTTTCTACTGTAATTTCTTCAGCTGATCTAACTGACTAATCATGGAAGTTTACTGTAACTACACAATTCCTTTTAATGCTGTGCTTAGTAGCCAACATATATCACAGAATCACCCTAGGTGTCCTGTGAAGATTAATTTCTTATTAATATCTTTATTTGTATACCATGTATGCAGAAAGCAAAACATATTTTTGTGGGTTTAATTGAAAAATAATGCATTGTGAACCTTACTTATTTTAGTACTTCTCACAGTATTAAAATAGTTCTTCTATGATTCCTTCTGGGTGAAAAACAAATGGGATTGATACTAAAATATTTTTTTAATCAGTGAATTGTTATTTTATCAAATTTTTGTTCAAGAGAAATCTATCATAACATGTCACACAAATTAACATGTTACACAAATTAGAAGTTTTGTTGATTTTGGTCAATGAGATAGTCTTTTTCGTTTATATCAAATGATGGCACTCGATCATGTACAGTGTATTGGACAAACCCACAGCCATTTTTTAGCTAGTGTTATACCTCAATCAGATAGAGATGCAATAAACAAAATATATATCACAGTCATGTTGTTTGTTTTCAGAGATGCTGTAGCTCCTCTTACCACTGGTGTAATTAATGATATAGACCATGAGGAGGACACTGAAATAAGACACCAAGGACCACTAGTTAATGGAAATCAACCTCCAGGTATCTGAAGCTTTACAATGCAGTAAGACACAGAGGTAAATAGTAAACAGGCGGGATACTGGGTTAAAAGGGTGGATTCAAGCATTTGTTAAGGTCTAAGTAACTTACCTAATCCTCTTTGTGCATCCCTCTACATAAGGCCTTGGTAAGGGAACACCATTGATATCTGTCAGTTGCCATTTGGTCAAACTGCCCTCATGTCCAGCCTCCATTGCTCATTTCCCTTTCTGCAGTTCTCCTCCAAGTTTTGAGTAAGGAACACATGTGAGTCCATTACAGACATGTACCTGTGAATCTTAGTGTTCTTTTCATTTTTCCAAATCCATATTTCACATATACCATACCTTAAGTTTGAGATTTCATATGGCTTTCCAGGGAGACATACATTTGGATTGGGAAAACTAATAATGAACCAAATGGGCCTAATCTTCTTTTGAATAACTTTTTTTGAATTACTTCTGGTATAATATGTAAACAATGGCATGTACTAGTTGTATACTTTAGAAAATCTGTCTTCTCCATTTGAACCTAAAGGAGGTCTTTTTGTATTTATTTATTTTTATTTATTTATCTACTTTTTAAATTTTTTGGTTTACTTACTTGGTATTTCAACATTTGTGATGTTAAAATCATAGTTCGCTATGGGCGTCAACCATCAACAAATGAAGATTTGTCATTGAAACAAGCAGAAGATTTGAAAGAGGTATTGAAAATATTGCAAGTGTTTGATAGTAATATCTGAGACTTATATGATGAGGAAAAGGTATATAAATGTGGATTGAGGTCATATGCATGCAAACTTAAGATGAAGCCAACTTATGCATGTAGCTTTGTAGCTACAAGTTGCCTATTGACTCTTCAGCTATTTATTTGTAATGATATTAAGTGATAAATTTACCTTTAATTTACTTTGAACAAAAATTTAATTTTTAAGTCATTAGTACAAAAAAACAGGCAGTTTGAGTTTGTTAAATAATATTGCTACAAGGCGAAAAATTGAAGTTAAGTTGCCATATTGTCTGACAGTGGACATTGTGTACCTTCACCTTTTCAGTAGCATTGCTGCTATGTATAGTTAACTTAAATGTGCAAATTCAGACCATGCTGGTCCTAGGTAAAATACACTGACTGATACAAGCCATTGACTAAAGAAGAATGTATTATCTAATTTCCTTTTGATAGAAATGTTACTCTATTTTTCTTTACTTATTCAATAATTAATTTGCCCGAAATAGTTGTGTTTTTCATGGGCTGTTGTTTTCCATTCCTGAGTAGGGAATTAAGATTTCCCTTCATTGAATACTTTACTTTCATATGCAAAATGGGAAATTATTACAATATTTCTTTGAAAGACAAAGCAAGTTTTGCCCTTAAATGTTATGAACTTGTCATTCTTTTCATTGCAGAAGTCCCATCATTATTGTTGCATTTGCATGGAATATGTGTACATTCAGGTGAATGGAAGCCGCCAAATAGCAGCACATGAGGCATGTCTAGATAAACTTAATTTGAGCCATACAGACTGGAACTGGTGAGTATAAAACCATTGATTTGCTGATTGATTCAAAATTGCAAAAGCAAATATTTAAACATAGTGATTCAATTGTTCTCTAGGGAATGATTGTTCTAGTCAGAGTACAGTGCTCATGTCCATGTTCATTGAACATTTGGCTTGTGTACATAGAACTGAATACTTAACATACTCAACAAAAATGTACCCTGCCATATCAACAATGACCAGATGTTTATTAACCCTTTATGGGCTTCAATTCCATTTTCATTAAGTAATGTAATTGTGTTCATGTCCATTATGATTGAAGTCATGGACATGCCAATCAGTGATATTAAATCATGTATTTTCTGACACTGAAGTTTATTAACTGGCATTTTTAATTAAAGTTTGAGTATCAGCTGAGGGTAAATTTGAGTCAAGATTAAAGTAAAATTAGTCTGAGTCAATGAGGAGTTTAAGTAAACCAAGTTTGAGTGAGCTGATATTGATGAAATGACTGAAAAAATGGGGTGAAACTCGAGGGATATCAGACTTTGTTCAAGTTAGCAGAGAGTTTGAGTTAACCAGAGTTAAAGTGGTTCTTTCTTCTTACATCTTTCCTTGAGATATTTAGTCATATACATCTCTTTCTTTTTCTTATTATCTTTATCATTTGAGCATGTCAATATTGTTCTATTCTGTACTGACAAATTCTCAAAAAATACCATATGATAGCAACAACCAAAAGTTTTTCTTTTTGGTAGTGCTGGGTGAAAATTGTAGGGTCATGGAAATCTCAGCATGGAGAAGGAATGGGGCAAAAAGTCTATCAATTTTTCTGTAATAGGTATATTTGTAGTTTGTACTATACTCATACACATGATTTTCTCAATGTTATCAATAGTTCCCAAAGAGACAGAACTGTCCAGAGTAATGATTATTCAGGTATGAGGACTCTTCCAGGAAATTTTTTTTTTCTTTTATAGAGCTAGAGAGGCAGATTTATTGGAATTTTTACTTACATTTCTCCTTTCAATATCACCCATGGATCACATATTTAGGTCAGGAATATGAAGAAAATGATCACTGACTAAAGAATCTCTTGATTGATAAACGAATTCTCCATGTCAACACCTTGGGAAATGTGTAAAAAACAGTATGGAGAATATGTATACTGATCTTAGGGTGTTAAAAGAGTTTGTGATATCATTTCTTATTTTTGTTTAACATCAGCACCTAAACAACCCTCATCCAGTTATGATGTGTCTGACACATGGGAATATTCCCCTCAGCTGACGTTCTCACGACACTTCGAGGTTTGATTTTTGAAGTTCTGTTTTTTGTTGTAGATGGTTAAGTTAACTGTAAAAAAAGGGTATTGTTTAATTGCAATCAGCAGATACTTTTTTCAAGCGTTGAGTGAAAAGGGACCATTAAGCTTGATTTTTTACACTCTTACTAAAATTCAAATTTTACATATTTGCATTAAATAAACAGATTGCTGGTGAAGTAATAATGAGTTCAATTAATCATTTTTTGTTCTCCTTTTGATGATGTTTGTAGGTAATGTTAGGTCATCATATCATATTTAATTATGATTCTGTGCTTACTCAACCTATCTTTCTTTCAGATGTTGTCACTGGTTTGTGACTTTTGTAAGAAAGAAGTGGTCATCATGAAATCACAGTGCTGCATTGGTAAATACCATAAAGAGTGCCTCAACAAGTATGATGACAAAAGATGCCCTTACTGCCGGCGTCCCACACAAGAGGGTGGTGGAAGAAATGGTGGTGGAGAAGATGACATTGGAAGCAATGGTGGAGGAAGAGGGAGAGGAGGAGGAGGAGGAGGAGGAGGAGGAGGAAGAGGACATGATGGTGAAAGAGTGGATGACAGAGGAGCTGACAGCCCAGGAGGAGGTGATGGCAGAGTAAGTGATGGCGAAGGAGGAAGTGAAATCATGGAAGGGGATGAAAGTGACCGCAGTGGTGGAGGGGATGATGATGATGGTGGTGGTGGTGGTGGTAGTGGTGGTGGTGGTAGTGGAGGTTCACCATCAACCTCTCAACCACCACAACAACTATCTTATCCTCAGGTGTTGTTGTTAGCACACTTTTTTCCGGAACTTTTCCTTCCTCACTCAGGAGGTGATGGGGAAGGAGGTGATGGAGAAGGAGGTGATGGGGAAGGAGGTGATGGGGGAAGACGTGACAGGGGAAGACGTGATGGCGGAGAAGGTGATGGCAGAGTAGGTGATGGGGAAGAAGATGATGACGGAGGAGGTGATGGCAGAGTAGGTGATTGGGAAGGAGGTGATGGTAGAGTAGGTGATAGGGAAGGAGGTGATGGCAGCGTAGGTGGTGGGGAAGGAGGTGATGGGGGAGAAGGTGATGGCATAGGAGGTGATGGCAGAGTAGGTGATGGGGAAGGAGGTGATGGTGGAGGAGGTGATGGTGGAGGAGGTGATGGTGGAGGAGGTGATGGCAGAGGAGGTGATGGCGGGGGAGGTGATGGCAGAGGAGGGGATGGTGGAGGAGGTGATGGTAGGGGAGGTGATGGCAGAGGAGGTGATGGCAAAGGAGGTGATGGCGGAGGAGGTGATGGCAGAGGAGGTAATGGTGAAGGAGGGAGTGAAATCATGGAAGGGGATGAAGGTGACCATGAAGATGGGAGGGATGATGATGGTGATGGTGGTGGTAGTGGAGGAGGGTCACTATTACCCGTTTACCATGATTTGCAAGGTATATGAAAAATTTTGTAGGTTTAAACTCTTCTCTTCTCGCACAGTATTCAACACCATTTTGTTAGAAACATGGGTAACCCCCCAAGACACAAAGCATTATGGTTATGTGCAAGTAGAGAATTAGGGTGTAACCAGTCCTTGAAATTGGTAATCCTCTTACAATCAGCCTTTTCACTTATAAGATTTTGGCGGATGGTGGCTTTCTTAGGATTGCAAATTATTAAGATAATACTTTTCAGCTTGTAGCATTATCCAATACAAACATTTAAGTTTCTTTGTTCAGAAACATGAAATGAACTGCTAGTATTACAAAAATTGATGAGAAAGCAATTTAGGGAATTTTCCTTAAAGTACCCACTTTCTAGGGCTGCTGCAGTCTCCTCTAGAGAGCAACAGTTTTGAAATAGTCTTTAAGTCGTTTAAATCACCTCCATACAGCATTAGCCATAATTCACCTGTGAATGTTTATTTCCTATTACTGATTTTAGAAATGGAAGATTCAAGAGAAATTCTTACTAACAATCAGGATGACAATGAGGTAGCAACTCATGGTAGAAGGCATACTCCAGTGGAAGGCATACATTGGGATCCCACTGAGGTGAAAGGATAATAAAGAAGTAGATTGTATTTTAAACTCTTTTATAGTTGCTAATCATTTCCTGTGTGCTTGATTTATGAGAATTTAGTGTTGTAACCAAGTAACAGCCCAATCATACATGTATTTACAGGTTAACGCCTGCGGGTCATTAAGAGGTTAATAGTTTTCTGCATTTTTTTGTCAATATCCCCTACATCACCTGTGATGTTATCTTAATACACGTAGTATGACAATTTAATTGCTATTTGCACGCACTATCAGCAATATTGTTACCATTACTTGTTTATACTGTTGTTACCTCACCCTCAACAGTTGTCTTCTTTTTTTGTCTATCTAGAGGCACACTTATCAGCTGCCAATTCAAGAAGAATTGGGTAAGTTGACGTCCTTGTTATAAACCATCTTATTTACGTGTGATTAGGCTATAAATGCCTTGTCTTTTGGTCTGGAAGCATGTTGCAAGGTAGTTTTCCCCTACCTCTTTCCATATATCTGATGTTATAATGCTAGAAAAATCTCAGAGAGCTTGGCAGAAACTTGTGCAAATACTGCATACTTCTGATTATGCTTTTTTAATTTTTCTTCTTTCTTAGAGCTCAGTATTTAGATGACCTCCCTGATGGAGCTTTGTGCTAGTCTTTAGGGTTTCAAGACAAAATCACTTTTGTTGTGAGTAAGCTTGTAGAAATCTAGTGAGATTGTGTCAGTGGTGAGCTGGGATATAGAATGTGATGGGTTTAATTAAGTTTATTAACGATTAGTATCGTACTGCTTCTGGGAGTTGCTCCTACTCGCTGTTTAATAAAGTAGTTGAGTTTGTAAGATTATAGTGTTTTTCTGTCGGTTAGATTATACCGTAACACTTTGCAGTGAAACCATTCAGTCGAACTCAGCTGCGCCTCAATCAATAAGGTTCTAGACGATGTAAAATTGTGGCCGATTTGTCAGGCAAAAATGCGTTATGAAGTGTTACGTTCTCGATTATTTTATTGCTTGGACCTTTAACTCAGTGTTTGAAGAATTTTGATCTAGTCACTCTATGAATTGATTAGATTGATTAGATTGCTTTGCTTGCTTTGTTGTAACAGATCTCGAAACCTCCAGAAGCTCGTAAATGCGTTATTAAATTAGTAATTAAGTCTCGTGATCAATCAATCAATCAATCAATTAATTATATTTAAAGAGAGGAACACTTGACAGTAGTGAAACTAATGACCTCGTGGCCATAAAGCTTAAAATATAAAAACAAAATAAGCAATGATCTATACTACAAATGTTACGTACTGCAAAAAGCAATAAAAAAAATAAGTATAGGTCATATATCTCTATAGATATATTTAAATGCAATACTATTTAGTGTTATTCTAAAAAGTAAATCAATAAATTGTTTTATTTAATAAAGAATTGTTTTAATTAATAAAGAAACTAAGATGGCGGCCGAAGTTGTTATTTTCTTTCTGTCTTTCCAAAAGAATGTTTATCAATTGCTTTATGAAACTTTTTTGTGTCCTTAGAGATTTTGAGCTCTTTATTTTGGTTATTCCAGTCTTAAATTAATCTATGACTGAGAGTGATCGCCCCCCTTCGGTAGAATTGTTGATGGGGCAGCGTAGGTTTTATTTGCCAAAGTGTGTATTTCTGGAGTTGACATCAGAATTCAGTTGAAGTGTAGATTTCAGGTGTTTTTCCAAGTGTTCTTTTGAGGAGCATTGTGCATCTGTTGACGTATGCGTCTTGGTAGAAGGGATCTTAATAAGAAGTCTATTTCATGTATTATATAACCTCTTCCCCCCCCCCCCCCTTGAATCAATTGAGGGAATAAAGGTGCCTGTCAGAACTTGTCGTGCTTACTTGTTATCCCAAAGTCATACTCAAAAATCTATCGTTAAACAGGTTAAATTAATCCTACTTAAATTTCGATGGAATTTGTGTTAAAGTTTTCGAAGCGTGAGTCACTATTACAGAAAACAGTCGTCACGGCTACTCTCACTTGGAAGATCAGAAGATGAAAGGAATCTTGATTTCTTATGTTGAAATCGGAGGATTAAATACTACAAAAAAACTGAAGGCAAATAAATTTTATGTTTCAGCTTTTCACTGTAGTATTAGACGCCGTGATGATAAGGGACACTAACAATTGCACATTCTTCGTAATCAAAGTGAAACCCTTTGCCTCACAATCTTACAAACTGTACTGAAGTGAGCTCTTCAGGAATCTATCAAGGTCGTTCCTCCATGTAAGGGGGAACTTTTTGGGAGTGAAGAGAACAAACAGACCAAGTTGTTATGTGGCAACATTATACATACTTCTCCACACAAATATCATCGTTTGACCGAAACACACAAAAAATTTTGATACAAAAGATACATTGATTACAAGTTTGTTTAGTTTTGCAAAAGCAAGAAAAATAAGCCAATCGGCGGGAAGAGCATTCAGTCACGAGGATTCGCCCCCCCCCCCCTTCAAAAAAATAGACGGAAACGGAAGGCGCGTAGTTAAAAATTGCCCTCTAGTTACTTAACAGAATAAAGTTTGAATTGAAACAGAAATTAAAAAATTGGCATCACCATGTGGAAGAGAACTGAAGACAACAGGTGCGTGTATTAATGTTCCAAAACCGTTTTACTTTGTAAAAAGCAACACTTATGAGCGCGCGTTTCGATTCGTTCTATACTGTAAAAGGCATTTGTCCCTTACTTGGTTATGTGTTTATAATTACTGGAGAATATTTAAAGAGTTGAAAAGCTCCTCTGTACGATAATTCGTTTAGGTTTTTTTTTTGTCGTTGTTGTTGTTCGTTGACCTTGCCAGAAAACGGTAAAATTGGTTGGCTTACTTGTTTGTGAGTGTTTAAATAAAACAATGTGCCACCGGCGCCGTAAACTACGGTAGCTTCAAAGGGGCATGCACTTTTCTCTCTCTTTTTTTTCCACTTGCGACTTAGCTGCTACTTTCTTGCGACTTGCTTCTTTCTTGCGACTTCGCTGCGACTTTCCTGCTACTTTCTTACGACTTAGCCGCGACTTGCTACTTTCTTGCAACTTAGCTGCGACTTTCCTGCTACTTCCTTGCGACTTAGGAGCACTAAGCTGCGACTTAGCTGCGACCTAGCTGCGACTTAGCTGCGACGTAGCTGCGACTTTCCTGCTACTTTCCTGAGACTTAGCTACTACTTTCTTGCGACTTAGCTACTACTTTTTTGCGACTTAGCTACTACTTCCTTGTGACTTAGCTGCCTGGCTACCAAACTGGGCCAAGTTGACGGCAGGCCGGGTTGCATTGCCGAGAAACAACATGGATTCTCCAGAAGAACAGTTACCGGAGGTCGACCAGGTATTTTGACATTTTTTCCTGTCTTTCGTCGTCCAAGTAATAAGGATAGTGCTGCACATCACAATAGGGAATTAATTATTCCTTTCTTGTTTTATATCGAAAACGAAGAAGAAATAAAGTTGATTTTAATTAGTATTTTCAATTGTTTTAGTTGCTCAGCTCGGTATCCAGCTTAGAGAAAAAGATTACGACATTTGATCTGAACAACGATAAATACCTTACGATGTGCATTTGAGAACACTGAATATTCTGCGAACCTAAAACAGCCCAAAGGCCACATAGAAAGCTTTGTTTTTGCGTGTACCAAAAACATTGTTCATGCTGGGTAGCCTGTGAACAGGAATGAAATTAAACCATTCTTGATTGATTGATGCATGATTGGCATTAGCTGGTTCTAGACCTTCATCCTCCGTGATTGGTTCGTAGAGCTTTTTAAACTAAGAACAACATCCTCTCGCTTGTGGTTGCTCGGCACACGTATCTTCTGCGATTTTAATCTCGTCGATGTCAACAGGAGTCATATAATCTTGACTCTCTGCTGATGCTGGAACGAAGTAGAGTACATCTGGCTTTCCCAACGGAGATTCCACATTGCTAGACGGCCGAATTCTGCATGGCCAGAAATCCGTGACAGCATGGCCGCCACGCACGCGCATCGATGTCGAACTCGGTCTTAGGTTACGAACGAGTCGCAAAATCACTACAAGGAGAACAGTGCACTTTCAGCTAACCTTCTTTTAATAATTGCTCCTGTGTTACAACCGTCAGAGGAGACAAGTTCTTCCAGATCGCAAAATAAAGTGGATTATTTGTACAACCTTTCGCTGCGTGCTCTATGTGCATTTGCGTGTGTTAAAGCGGTTCCCGAAGAAATTTTTTGTTGGACGTAGAAATCCTCGCACTCCGCCACACATTTTCTTAATAACTGTCCAAAAGTAGCTTAAATTGTCGAAAATCACCCCACTTCGCTGGTTCACAGGAATATTCTTCCAGATCGAACTGATTTGTTCACATTCTAAACTTCATTTATAATGCAAAATTAGGAGCCATTGAGGCCACTAAATCGAATCCAAACTTGGTGGAAAAACAGCCTAAATACTACTGAATAGTTCTCAATGCGACGTCATTTTTAAAACCCAAGAAAAATTTCGGGAAAACGCCATGTTTTTAGTCGACCGTAAACCGTAGTTTCTAGCTCCTTCGTCCTCCATCTTGAATCCCAAAATGCTTTACTTGACCTATGTAACCGTGCCTTTAATAAATTGTACAATGGCGTTACACAATCTCCGAAAATTTGCAAGTAAAATGAGCGACGAATTTAGTCAATGTTGCTCGCGTT